AACCACCCCCCCCCCCCCCCACCCCCCCCCCCCCCCCCAACACACCCCCTCCCACAACCCTGGCAGGACCTTTCACCACGACCCAGGGGCGGTGGTGGGCGACTTCGACTTCTTCGCCGGGCGGAGAAGGACCTTCCGGGCCCTAGCCCTTACCCCCGCCGCGGTCTGGGTCATCTCGCGGGCAGTGCTCCAGGCGGTGGCAGACGAGAGCCCGTCCACCGTGGTCCTGCTCCAGTCCATCATCCTGCGCGCGGCCTCCCTCACGGCGGTGCACGCCTTCGAGGTGCTGGAGAAGCTGACCTGAAGCTTGAGCGGCGGTGTGCGAGACAGATTGGATGCGTCTGCGAGTGCCCACCTTTCCATGGGAGGGCGACCTCCATCCTTGGCGCACTGAAGAACCGCTCCCCTTGCCGGTACACACCTTGAGTCATTCCTGGATTGAACGAATTTTTCTTTCGAGTCCCGCCCCATTGGAACTCGAGCGGACGTACAACCCGATTGTTAGTTTCCTGGCAATGAATCACGCAGCAGGCGCAGCAGCCTGAGGATCTGGGGTGGGTGGTGGGTGTTTCGGAGGAGTCGCCTGAATGGCCGCTAGATTCGCTGGGCGCAGCAGGATAAAGGACAGGCATGGAAAATTCAGGACATTACAAATTGTCATGGCGTGCGCTCGGCCTCCCACAGCGCTAGGATGTGAGCATGGGCTTCAGGCTCGTTGCAGGGCTACTCCCTCGATCAGGTACAGCACACGCTTCATGTGGGGACATCCGTGCCTTCAACACGGTGGTAATCTATTCCATCCGGTGCATAATGCCATCAGAGACGTATTCACTCATCCAGACCTTCCCATGCAGCCATGCCGACCGGAGATGTGCCTGTGGAGCAGTCGCAAATTCACGGAGTCTGTCCCCCTCCCCCTCTGGCGCCCCATCGCGTCGAGATGTTGGCCTGGGCATCGCTGTCAGCATGGCAGCGCTCCTCCTCCCCATTTCCCTGCCCCTGCCCTCAGCAGCCCTTGTGGAAGGCTACACTCCCATGGAAGCCCTCAAAGGTGGAAGGGGGCTTGGGGCCGTGCATGCTAGCACTTGCATGCGCACCCAGAGACTCTCTCTGCCCTCGCGCCAGTCCCTCGCTACAATTCTCCATCCCCCCCCTCGCTCCCTCTCCAGGTAAAAACTACGGCAAGCCACGAATGAGCTACAGCGATTACGTCACCACCCCGTCAGGACTGCAGTACCTTGACGTCAGGGTGGGCACCGGTCCCACCCCCAAGCCGGGTCAGCGGGTGACCATCGACTGGGCGGGCGTCACCATCGGGTACTATGGGCGCCCCTTTGAGGCCCGCAACAAGGTGCTTGGGGGAGAGGCCAGTGCATGGCATCTGGGAGGGGAATCGCTTTGGGGGTTGAAACCTTGTCATGTGCCTTACTCCGGCCCGTGTGTGATCATGCGACTCAGCCGCCCTCGCCTCCCTGCTCTCACCCTGGCCTCCTCTGGGCACACCATGCCTCTGCACAGACCAAGGGCGGCGCCTTCACGGGGGACGACAAGGAGTTTTACCACTTCAACTTGGGCTCCGGCTCCGTCATTCCGGCGGTGGAGGAGGGGGTGGCGGGCATGGCGGTGGGCGGCATCCGCCGACTCATCGTACCAGAAGAGCTGGGCTACCCCAATGGGGACATGACGGCCCTGGGACCCAGCCCCACCACCTTTTCCGGTGCATGGGGGATGGTTTCTGTGCGTTTGCGAGAGCATGCACCACCGGAGCAGGGGCGTCCGGCTCTTGGGGAATGTTCCCAGGGCATTGGCGCCCCCACCCCTGCACGCCCCCTCTCCCTCAATCACCCCTCCCACGCCCCCTCCCCTGCGCAGGTCAGCGGGCCCTGGACTTTGTGCTGCGCAACCAGGGCTTCATCGACAAGACCCTGCTCATCGACGTAGAGCTGCTGGATGTGCGCTGACGCGCCATCGCGGCCCTGGCTCCTCACGCGCAGCCTACTCACACTCTGGTCAATGAACACTCGGACCGGCGACGTGAAGGGCGCACTGCCAACCAAAATTGCAACGCTTGGGGGGGGCAAGCATGGGTGTGGGAAAATCGCGCGGCGCAGCATATGCAGGGTGTGGCCCGTTCAGAGCATGGACTGTGCATGGAGACTGTGAAACTGTCTCAGGCTTGGCCCATGCTCCGCCGTGGAAGAGTGAGAAGGGGGCGCGGCAGGAGGGGTAGTGTGAGTGGCGGGGGACAAGTGTGCCGGCGAGACTCCTGGATGGGAGGCTGGCAGCATGATGCCGGCCAGGCTGTCCAGCCCGAGGGCCCCGCCAAATGGTGATCAGATGCCCGTGCTCCGCCAGGGTCTAAAAATCGCAGCAGCGGGGCGTACCAAGCGCCTGCTTCTGTACTTCAAGCCCGGTACAGGGGGAGGAAGGGCGCCGTGGGAGGTGGGAGGCGGCGCCAGCGCGGCGACTGGCGTCGACGACATTGTTTCCCGGCGGCGGCTGCCGCTGCCTTGCGTCGCGAGCGGCCGCTGCCGCCGGGGTTGGTCGACCTGCTCGCTCCCCGCTCCTCGCCGCGGATGGCAGGCAGCCGGCTCCAGGCATAGGGGGGTGGGGCGAGGCGCTGCGCTCTGGCACGAGCCTGTTCCCCTGCGCAGACTCCCGCCTCGCCTCGCCCCTTCCAACATGAGCACCCACGCGCCCGGCCACACCGCCTCGCCCAGCGCCCCCCATCGCAACGGCTATTCGTCGCGGCGCCCGTACACGCGGCGGTGGCGCTCGTCCACCTCCTTGAGGTAGTAGGTGCCCGGCGCCAGGTCCTCCACACGGGGCCAGAGCGTGGCGTAAGCCTTGGCCCCGCGCAGCGCCTCCGCCCGCGCCACGGCGGCCAAGAAGTCGGCGGGCGGCGCGGCGGGGCGGCGCGCCAGGCGCACCGCCAGGTCCGACCCGGCCTGCAGGCGGGCCAGGGAGAACCGCGACCCTGGGGCCACGGCGCGGCCGCGCAGCGACAGGAGCGTGGCCGAGATGCCCGAGCCGTAGCTGTAGAGCAGGACGCGCCGGCCCTCCAGCGCGGCGCCCGTGGTCTCCAGCAGCTGGGCCACGCCGGACCAGACGCTGGCGGTGTACATGTTGCCGCACTGGCGCTGCACGCATGTCCCCGGCCGCACCTTGGCGTCGTAGCTGGCGTGCGTCGCGCCCAGCAGATACTTCTCCAGCCCCGGCGGCATGGCGGTGGGCGGGTAGGGGTGGGCGATTGGTGTGTGGGAGTGGGCGGGGGACGGGTCGGCCCCGCCGTTGCTCACGCCGTCGGCCGCGCCGCCGCCGCGCGTGGCGCCCAGCAGCGCCGAGGCCCCCTCCAGCTGCCCCGCCAGCGCGCCCGACCGGCAGCCGTCCAGGTACCACAGGCGCGCATACGCCTTCTGCACCAGCTTGTTGTAGGGCGCGTGGAAGAGCACGTGGTCCACCGCGTCCAGCGTGCAGGGCGCGTGCAGCGCGCGCTCGAAGCGCTCCGCGTACCGCGCCCAGCACACGTCCAGGGTGTGCAGGTAGCAGTAGACGGACAGCGGGCCGTCCACGGCAGGGTACCCCGTCGTGGGCTTGTAGAAGTCGTAGGCGTGCGCCATGTGGCTGGCCTGCAGGCGGCGCTCCAGCGCCAGCGGCGCGTCGGGGCCGACCAGCAGCGCCACCGCGCCCGCGCCGGAGGTGGGGCGCGCGGGGCCGGGCGCGTAGAGCGCGATGTCGGAGCAGACCACCACCGCCAGGCGGCCGTCCCAGGCGCGAGACTCGACCCAGGCCGCGGCGGCCAGCAGCGCCGCGGTGCCGCCGTAGCAGGCCTGCACGCAGTCCACGCCCTCCACGTCCGTGTTCCCCGCCGCCTCCAGGATGGGCATCAGGTAGGTCTTCAGCGACTTGCTGCCGTCCACGCCGGACTCGGTGCCCACCTGCAGGTGCCCCACCTCGGAGGGCGACACGCCGTGCCGGCGCAGCAGCTGGTGGAACACCGTCAGGCCCATTGACACGGGGTCCTCGCGGTCGCCGCAGAAGGACAGGCCTTGCTGCGGAGGGGGGGGGTGGGGGGAGGGGGGGGGCTTAGCTCCCCAGGCAGGGGAGGGGGGGGGGGGCGCAC